TTTTTTTTCAGCAACATAGCTTATGTTGCTGATATATTAGCAACATGATTTTGGTTGGTAATGTATTACCCACCAAGCCTTCTCCAACAAAACTTTTAGCAACCAAACCCATGTTGCTGAAGGTCCTTCAGCAACATGGAAAGCACTTTCAGCAACATGCTTCCATGTTGCTGAAGGCTTGAATTTTAGTAGTGAATCCAAAGATTTTACATATTCTTAAGGACTTTTTTACCTTTTTAACTACAAATTTTATTACTAGAGTAAAAGTATAAGTGATACTTGTATAAGTGATACTTTTACTCTTACAAATTATATTAATATTAAATTCATGTACCATACCAACTCTACAAAAGCTTATACCACTCAAGCATATATACAAGAATACAAGCATATAACATATAATTGTACTAGGGATAACTTTCTTTCACATAGTCATATATAGGAACATTAATTATTTCTTCAGAGTATACTTGCGCCAACAATTTCATAAGTGAAATTGTACTCAACTTAATAATTGTAACTTAAATACAAGTGTATAATATATTAAATTCTAATATTATTTTTTTCCTTGGATATAACAACTTCTTGAGGATTGTCATATACCTATATATATAGGACCATGATTGGTGCACACCCGGGTGTTGAATCCGGGTGTGCACACATCATTTTCCTATATATATATATATATATATAATCATTCCAAATCAAGTAGAGGTTGTTCTTTCTTTGCCTACAATCTCAAAATAAAGATTATGCTCTTCATCAACTTAGGCATATTGAGTTATAATTAATTTCACTCCAATAGTCCAATCTCATTCCCATCTATAAAATAATTTGCTTCAAAGTGCAAGATAAATAATGTTCATGATTGGAATTAAATTCCCATTTTAGCAGAACAACAATACTATAGTTCTATGAGACCACATAGATTAAAAATCAAATCAAGATCAAATTCCAATTGAACTACATGTTAAATTATATATGAATAATAGTATATATGATAGCCAATTTGAGATTTCTTTATAGAATGACTACATTTGCATTTAATTTGATGATTTTTTTTTTATTTGATACATCTTTTATTCTTTTATAGGTACATGAGTAAAATTGTGGAATGAAAAAACTTAAGAATCTCACATTACTCAGGAATAAAAAGTAAAGCTTACTAATACTCTATATAAAGAAGTGCTTAATCCCACAACGTTTAGGAACAAAAGGTTTAATTTACTAATACTTTATATAAAGAAAGGCCTAAACTATATTTAATGCATCTTTTATATTAATTTGTATTGAATTTTTTATTAGTGACTTAAAAATTCTATCACAAATAAGTTTGTGACAATTTTTTTTTCACGTTAAAGGACCTACTCTTTTTTGTAATTGGATATAAAGATTACAAATAAGGCACTTTTTGTGTCTAATTATTTTGATGCAAATTATTTTAATTGTGACTTATAAAATTGTTACAAATAAACTAGTAATTGTGTCTATTTTTCCTGTCACTAAAATCATGTTTTTTTTGCAATGATTATAAAATTAGTTACTATTAGTTTTAATAACTCAGTATTTGTAATGAATAGTAACCAACCAAATTTTAGATACAAAGGTATTGTGAACAAAAATATGAGGTTTTATGAATAATTTTGCCATCACAAAATACCCATTTTCTTGTAGTCACTACACTTTTGCCATTGAAATAGTAGTTAATTAAAAAAGAGAATTTTATGCTCTAGAACAAATAATGTTAAGGATATAGTTATTATATATTTTTATCATTAATTTATGAAATTTTTTGAACTTATACTTATAATTATTGCATCTTTTTATAATTAATTTGTTTGGAAAAAATAAAATTGACAAAAAAGTAATAACCACTTGTACCTAATCATTTGATTAATTTTTTTTATCTATTTTTGACTATCTATTTGATTAATTGACCGTTTGCCCAACCCTAACAAGAAGGATGTCAAAGGTGGATCTGGACTTTAACCCTCAAATTCAAATATACCCTCCCCGAATGCACGTTGCCAAAAGTAGGGACAGGTAAATCTCGGTAAACTAAAATCGAGATTTGATTAATTAAAAGTTTTTTATTAGAAATTTTAAGACCAAAGTCAATACCGAAATATATTATATATTTTTTGGTTTGGTTAACTAAATTTTTGTTTATTGTAAGTTCGGTTTTTATGTTAACCAATAATTATCAAATATAAAAATAAGATTAAAAAATAATAAATAAACGAGAGTGAAATATGAGATTTTGATTTTTTTTTTTA